AAGGAATACACAAAAAGCTGTACTTTTTGCCTGCCATGCAACACTTCATGACACTGTCAGCTTTCCTATTGAAAATGTCGTCTAAGACTTAAGTTGTAAGGCTCTTAAATAGGAACAAGTACCTTTGTATATAGATACATATAGGCAGATACGATTTTTGTGTTCTAATTTGAGAAAGTATATATACCTCTCTGCAAATACCTGCTTTGGTCTCTGAATTGCTCCTTCAAATACAGAGATAATTGAACCAAAGGTAGGTTAAATATAGATTTTCTTTCTAATTTTAATTTTTCTGCTTTTATTTTGGTTAAAGATACAATTAGATTCTTCACTGATGAAACTGGGCTTGAGATGACCTTATAGAACTTCTTGTGAAATGTACCTGTGGTAGAAATGTGTGGTCCATGCATTACATATGAAATGCATTGTGAAACATGAAGTGATGATAAAATCTAACTCTTGAGTTATAATCAACCCTACCTGCCCCCAGGGAGTAGTAGGGGAAAAAAGGTAATAAAATACTGTAGTTTGTATTTTAATGGCCTTGTGCACAGCATTGTTAATCTTGCTACAATTACAAAATACAGCTTAATGTAGAATAATTTAGAAATAAGGCTTTGCTGTTGGAATGGCAAAACCAGATTATACTTCAATTATTTTTCTTTAATTTAAAAATAAAACTCAAGAAAGTGTAAATATTTTCTGTAATAGATTCTAGGATACCCAGCTCACATTTAGAAATAATCCTGTGAAACTCTGATACTTCTGTTTCTCTAAAAGTTAAGTCCTAAGTGAAACAGAAAGCAGACCAGCACCAAATTATCTCCCTATCTTCTGTTTAGGGGAAGAAAATGACTAGCAGAGTAAATGTTTTCAGTGAAAGTTTGAAACTCTGTGTTTGTGTATTGATCATCTTTGCCTTCCAACATAAGAAATTGACCACCTGTGACCATCTACAGTTAAAAGTTTTTTAAGTAATATGGAGAAGTTTCAAGATAGTCTTAGAGAAAACTTTATTATCCCTCTTTTTAAAAAAATCCGGACTCTTACACTTTTCTCCATTTATATAGTACTTTCATAGCTGATGGTGGTATAGAGGCTTTGTTGTCCCTTCTGCTCTCTACTGCTCCCATCTGCAAGAGTTGTAGCCTGTTTCCCCTGTAGTGGTTCCCTTGTTTGTGCTGCAGGTTCTTGTTTGTCACTTTTTGTCCCTAAAAAATCATTATGTCATTCATGAAAGCTTATGAAATTGGAGTCACTTCAGCAAAATCTTGTTCAACTTGAATATTTTTCTTAGAGCCTGTATGATTGGTGTAGAATACGAAAGAATACATGCAAATTGACATAAGTTTCCGAGCTTTCCTGGAGCTGGATGGTGGGAAGCTGTCCCCGTGGTAGAGCGAATGTTTGGTGGAAGGGTGTGATTGGGTCGTACTTGTTCTCACAGACAGGTTATGTAAAAAGTCAACATGAATATTTGTCCCTTTTAAATGTCAAAAATATTTCTCTGGTAACTTCAGTGATTAATGTGCATAGAAACCTGAAATTCCTTGGAACTCACTAATGAAACTAGTCTGCTTTGATCTTTGAGAGGAAAGAAATGAGAGCATATCACTGCCTAATACAAAAGATTGCAGCGTTTTACTATATTGGCCTCTGTGCCCAGGTAGAGAGCAGGATCCCTGCCTTTGGGAGCTCTTGGACTAAAGTTGTAAATTGGGTACAGAACTGGACAGGTGTTACATCAACCTAGACTTTACATGCCTTAAATCAAATATAGCAAGGTAGTGAGAAGGAAGGTACAGCTGTAATTTAACTTTGAGCATTCCGTTGCCCTGTCCATTCCAGGGGTTTATGATGTTTATAGTAATAGGATCTATGGATGCTCTTATAATTCTCCTAGTCTTAATGTGACCTTAGAAAGTTGGGATGATGTTCACAGGAGATACGGATCCTCTTGCTTGCTGGTCCCTTTGCTTTAAACAGTCTGCTCTTGAGCTGACCTTTTAATGTAGATTTTCCACAGTTAATGGCACAAAATACCCCTGAAATTGCTGCCATCCTGCAGATCAGAAGGCAGCAAGAACCATTAAAAAGCATCAGGTGCTCAGCCTGGGCACTTTTTGCAGGACAACCTTGTAGTAAGTTTGGGGTTTAAGTGATTTTGGGCTTTGTGTACATTTTTTCATGCTTCCTCAGCAGTATATCTTTGTCATTTGGTGACTCGGTACTTTATACAGAATTGCACGTGTGATTATACACAACATATTGACAGTCTTTTTGGTGCTTCCTATAGAGAGAAGAAAGCTCAACACATTTAGGTATGTTAGACACAAAAGACGTGATTTTTTTTTAAGAAAGAAAGAAAAGTAAAGAGAGAAGGAGATGGCCAGGAGCCCACTAAGTGTCTCAAGTGAAGAGAAGACAGAAATTTGAGTGTGTTGCTTATTCACTAAGTTCCTTAAAATGAAAGACAGTAAAAGCAGCAGATTTTTTGCAAAAGATCATTGGCTTTCTATGGGACTATTTCTTACACAGAAAGGAATGTTGAAGGGAGGGCTGAGGTGACAAAATAATAGAAGCAGCTGCTAATAGTAATTTATATTTCAGACTGATTTTATTGGAAAAATATCTCTGCATAGGTTATCAATAAGCAAGTGAACCAGTTGCAAAAATACTTTGCATTTTTTAGGTTTTGTAACATAATTCTTGCTCAGATATCTTGTGAGATTAGTAAACCTGTCCTAGGCCCTTTGTACAATTATCTGAAATGTTGAAGAAATGGGGAAAGGACAAATAGATTTTGAGGAATCCAAACCAGCGTTGTAGTTGTCTCATTTCTCAGCAGGGAATAGGCAATTAGATAATTCTGATCTTCAGAATTAAATCTTTTTCGCTGGTTGGTAACAGTTACCTTAAGGCTTCATTTGTGTTGGAACTCAGCTAGGGTACTACCATAGCAAAGGTTTCTCTTAACTTGAAATTATGAAAGCCAGAGACAGAATTGGTAAATCACTTTTAGTTGTCTTCCTGGCCTGCCAAAAGAGCATTCTTTAGTTTCAGTGCTGTGTATTACATTGTGTGAAATTAATGGCATGTGATGAGCTCTGAATTCAGTGAGCAGAGAGAGTTTGTATTTGTGCTGCACTGGGGTAGTTTATAAACTGTGGCTCCTGAGAAATGTTTTGAAATGTCAAATGTTGGTATTTTGCGTGTTAGATGAAGCAAATGCAGAAAATAAGAAGCAAACTAAGAAGAAAAAAATCTTAGTATTTGTTTCTGAAAACTTCTTCAGTAGTATTTGGCACTGGAAATACTTCCTAGCTGGTGCCTGACCTTTTTTTTGTTGTTTTCTGTACTGGTAAAGGAGAAAAATCCTATTGCCTTGAGTGACACAGGTGGCAAAGCAGTGAGGAGTCTGCTGACCTAAATTGTGGTCACAGATCCGCAGTGAGAATCGTATCTCTGCTGCACACTTTGTTGCCAAGAATGGGTGTACCAAGTGAAGGAGTTTGTGTGGTTTTGTTAGTAATTTAGAAACCACAAGCAAGATTTTTATGGCTTTGTAGACAGAGCTGTTTCTGAAAGTGCTTGGTGTTTTCTGAAACGTGCAAAGGCTTCTGAGCTTTGTCAGAAATGCAGTAAGATTGCCGATTGCTTTCCATGAAAGACAAGTTCCTTAAAACTTCCTACTTTGAGGACTATGTGAGCATCTTGGATTTCTAAATTAGAAATTACCGTGGAAAAATTATGCTCGTTAAGGCCTTTAAGGTTCTCCCATAAAGCCAGTACCTGCGCGAATGCTCAAGAGTATGCTTCAGTCTGAAGACGAGGGCTTTGTTATTTTCTGTTCTTGGTGTTCATAGGCAGTCTCTCTATCAGCAAAAGATCAGAGAAGTAAAATGATCTTACAGATGTTAAATAATCATGAAGTAAATTGGTTTGATATCATTTTTATTCTGAAAGAGGAAACGACTCCTGTTCTGTTGTGGTTTACAAATACTTAAATGCTTAAACTAATTGTCAGCCTCAATTTTAAATGAGGAAGCAAAATAAAATGCATGTTGTGCTCAGTTTCTCATAGTACTTGCCAGGAGAAACCAAGTTTTGAAAACAGTTGGCCTGCTTTCAGACACAGACTTTAATGAGATTAAAAGACAAAGAATGGGCAAGTTTGATGGCAAAGTTTGGCTGTATTCTGACAATGGGTCCTGGAAGCCAGGGCAGAAAAATGTTGTATTTTTTAGTGGTAGAATTGATCTGTTTTGGAAAATGAAAAGTAGGAAGCAGTGGGTAGCTGTCGAATAATTACAGCGAAGTGTAGTAAGTTAGTATGAGGGAATCTGTACTGTTGTACACAGGCTGCAGGAGGTCTGAAAGGCGGTTTTAGCGGCCCAGACATTTTCTCCTTGACTTTAAGTTTTTCAGCTGGTTATTTCCCAGTAATAATTTAACCAAGGATTTTGCGCACTGCACAAAGCTTTTATAGCAACCTAATTTGAAAACAGAAATTAACACAATAGTCCTCCACTTTCCCCGTGTTAGGGCTTTTTCTACAGTTCAGATGAAGATCAGTGTTAGAGTACGCATGAACTTGGCAAGGTAGAGGGCATGGTGCGTGGCAGAATGCCTCAGGAGACCCGGTGCATGAGAAAAGATCCATTTACTTAAAGGCATACACCAAGCAGAGGATTAAGGAATAGGTTTCAAAATAAGTGTGCAAATTAAGAACTAAAATGGTTTTAAAAATTCTCTTTGAGTCTACATATATACTTTGTCAGCCTCATATCAATATGCTTTATCAATAAGTAACGGAGATGGGGCAAGGAAGGCATGGTATTGTGGGCGGGGGGGAGGTCAGCTTGTGAACACCATTTAAAATGACCTGGAGTATGAAAAGGCTTGAGAATCACTGAGTTAGTATAAAGGCGATAAAACAAGGTCTTTTGGTCCTTATAACAATGTTTGAAAGGCTGTTTTCTTTCTCATTTAACATGCAGCAAGGACATATGGGAGAAGGCGAGGTAACAACATTCCTATTTAATTTTCTAATGTTGACAATGTCTCATGGGAGAAAAAACATTAAGTTGTTACTAGAGGGCAAACTCAAAAATTTAAGATTATAAAGCATCAGTTTCACATACGTTTACATAGTCTGCATGCCATAAATAACCATTTTAACTGAATTAGGCAGTACTCCGCAGTAGCACTATGGAGGCTGAAATGATCACGATCCTTACAGTGGACATCATCTGTATGATTTGTTGCACTGGAGAGCTATGTTGCTGTGTTTGTGTGTATGTTATGTATGAACACCAATGCTGCGGAAGTTTATTTTGGTTCTTTTGGGTGTTGATGGTTTTTTTGACACAGCATAGACTATAGTGAATCTATGTCCTGGCCTACTAGGTTAAAGCACCAGATCCTGCAAGCATGCCTGTTGAATTATCTAACAGCAGTGGTGATGCTGATGAACCTGAGAAGGTTGTTTAGGTATGGAGAATTGCTCCCTTCCGACAATACCTGCAGGACTGGGGTCTTAAGAGATGAAACGAAAGATGTGCATCAGTTCACTAGGGGAAAGCAAAATAACGTTTAAGTCTGTATTACGCTGTTTTTATCATAGGAAGAACCAGGTTTGCCTAGCTACAGAAATAGGCCCAATTATAGTTGATTTTTATTTTAATTAAAGGTGTACATAGATTCTTGAGATTTCAAATAAAGCAAGGTGACCAAGCCTTCCATTGTTTATTCGTATAAATTCTATGGAGTCTGGATTTTATTGTATTTTTTTCTTTCAACTTGTTAGCTGTTTGATTTTTGCATGGAAAAATGTCTGGATATTGGAACTAGTAAAGTTTTCCATTTTCAAGATGTTTTCTTTTTTAAAATAAATTTATTTCAAAGGAAGGAATCAAAAGCAGGATAAATTAATCTTTCCAATACGTTACTGTGGTAGATTGTAATTAATTCTGCAAAAGCAGAGATAGTGTATTGCATCATAGGCAAAAGGAAATCTATCCTAAAACTTCTAGCACACGTCGTTTATTTGCTTACTTTCCCTATATATATTTATTTATTCCTAAAATGCTCCTTAAACGAGTAGAAGTCTGTTCAGTTTGTTGTCTAGATATTGAATACTGTAACTAAAGGGTGAATTCGTGGAAGAGATCAACTTGTGTGCTTTATTTATGGTACTATACAGTTGCATTTATAAATCAAAGAATCTTATTTAAAAGTAATAAATATTATTAAGGAAATCTATGATAAAGGATTATCATAGAAGAACATTCGGCTATGAGGGGGAGCATGCTTACAACATTTTCTCTTAGAGTGAGTCCATTAACGAACGAAACACTGTTGTAACATCTAGGTAAACTTGCTTCTAGGAATGACGCAGTATTGCCCAGTTTTCAGTCTTCATTTACAGTAAATTATAGTGAGTCTTCCATGTTTTACCAGGATATTTTTGTTATTTACAAGTGGGTGGTTCATGAGATGTTTTGATCTCAGGTAATAATGTGTAGTACATTTAGCTGGTAGAATTCTTGTTTTCCCATCTGCACTGTGAAATTGTATCTACTCGTTGTAAGAAGATGTTCACTGGAAAATTATATATATGGCTCTTGTTTCAGTGATGTCTGCTATTGGGAAAGTCCCAGAAAAAAAAATTGGCTAATATTCTCTTCTGGTTTTAGACCTTTTTAAAAGAAATCTAATTGGAAACATGAATTATAATGGAAAATGATCAACTTGAGCATTCATTAGAAATACTGGTTTGTTTCAAATTTTCATTAGTTGTAGTGCAGTTACGAACATTTTCTCTGAAATAATGCCTTTGAGTTATTGAATAATATTGAAAACTGTAAGGGTCATGTGAAATTGAGACCATAACTGCTCATTAAAAGGGAAGATTGCAAACAGTCTTACTGCTAATGTAGCAACTAGTGCGTTTTTTTAAAAATTATTTAAACAGTGTGTGCTTTGTTCTGTTAGTATGGTTTTTTTCTTTCTTTTTTTTTTTAACCCCCTCTTTAGGTCAGTCTTCACTGTTTCCAATGGAAGACGGGTTCTTGGATGACGGACGTGGGGATCAGACTCTTCATAGTGGTTTAGGATCACCTCACTGCTTCTCCCATCAGAATGGAGAAAGAGTGGAACGGTATTCCCGTAAAGTCTTTGTCGGCGGACTGCCACCAGATATTGATGAAGGTACGCCCCAAAAATCTTAGCCAGAAAAACTCCTTCTGGCTTAATGACAGAACTGTGGTGTGAAACCTTTTGTCTGTTAGCTAATGAATGATTGTTTTCCGAACTCTACAGAAAAGCTTTGATATGTAAATGGCTTTTTGCACGTTACCACTTTCAGTACACGGCAAATGTGTGATAATTCAAACTAGTTTAGGCTATAGCATTGTTCTGCCATTGAAGAACAAAATCATATGTTACCCCACATTTAACTGACTTTTACAGTATGAAAATTATAAAAAAGGGATAGTGGTGCAAAAATAAACAAAAAAATATCACCCGTTGAAACTCATAAATACATTGCAAACATTTCATAGGCACCAGAAACCAGAAAAGTACTGCTGGTAGCGTTATGAAGTTTGTATAGCATAGTAATTCATAGCTCTTTATCTGGATGCTTAAGTATAGTTCTCAGAGGTTGTTCTCAGCAATGATTATGTCCTGTTGTAGCTTCTGACATGTGCATGGTCAGGACTTAGACAGGAATGAATCTGTACAGAGACAGTTGCATACAGTGAGGAACCAGAATTTGTGGTGGGTCCATCATACAGAGCCAGGTGACAGAATATTGCCGCTGCTATTAAAAAAAAAAATAAAAAAATCTCTATCTCATGCACAAGTGTTGTGAAGCTTCGTTCCACCAGAGTTCTGTATTCTGTATGTATGGGTGTGCTGGGATTGTGGTTAAAAGAACTGCAGCAACTGTAAATCTGAAAAGTTGCTCTTTCTTAATCACAGAATCATTTTAGTACCCACTTTTTGTGTCAGGGAGAGTGATTGTAATGCACTGCAGCATGTACTACTGTGACGTGACAATCTGACTGTCATGTCAAACGTAAGAGCTACTTTATTATTAAAAGGTCAAATATGACATAGTGTTTACAAGAGGAAAAATGATCTTAGTCTCTCTCTTTGTTGCTGTTGGGGTTTTGTTTGCTTTTAACTTTGCCACCTTTGTTGTTTTAAAAGCAGATGAGCACATGAATAGTTTGGTCTCTGTGGACCCTAGTTATTGAAGATTAGGACCTTTCCTAATCTCCTGTGCCAGGAAGGTAGCTTGAATTTTTCAGAGTTGCTTATGTCAGCACTCTTCCTGTTAAATGCACAAGTGTGGATTAGAAAAAGGAGTATATAATTTAAAATCTACATCACAGCTGAATCTTTGAGGTTTTTCTGATCCTGAAAGCACTTTATGTATGTGCTTTAACATTAAATTTGTGTTAAGTGCTGTTCTGAACAGAGATCTATTTTAAGAATAGATATGTAGTAAATATTGTTCTCCTTGGTTTGTATATTCATCAGCATGTAACCTTGGCTTACTACCATTGCTGTATACCTTCCTCATGATCTGTAGTGCGCAGAAAAGCTGTCGGTACAGTGGATTTCAGTTGCTCTTTCATTAGCAATGTCATTGAAGAGTGTAAGCAAACTGAAAAAGACATAATTAGTAACACCTCTTCAGATTTCTAACTGAATTTGAGGGTGGGGAGAATGCTCTAAATTGTGTATTAGGAACCCCCAACAGCGTGCTAGTATAGAAAGCCCTGTAATACCATAGGCAGACTACAGCTGAGCTGTGTGCCGGTTTAGATGACGCTCCAGCAATGTGAAGCTTTTTCTTTTTTGTTTCAATTTTTTAATAAAAATTCTTGTCCAGAGAACTTTAACTAGTGATGGTTCAAGTGTGTTTGTGGAGGAAGAAAAGGGAATAATCACTAAATTTCAAGAACAGAATTGCAACTAGAAGACTTCTATGGGACTAGCATATGCAAATTTACACCAGTAATTTGGGGCCAAAGAACAAATTGAAATGAATGCAAGAACTGCATCATGATATAGTAATATGTTCTTGCCATTTCTCCAATAAAATTGCGTAACTATGTCCTGCAAGTTTACTCAGTTTGAGGTCAAGCTGAGATAGTGTTGGCACATGTGGCACTGGCATGTGATACGAGCAGGCATGGCTGGGTCTTGTGATAGTCCCTTCATTTTTTCCCACTCTTTCTGCAATTATAAGGCATATTGGCAGAGCTGATTGCTTACTAGCAAGTCAGCAAATTGTCTCTAAACTCTTTGTGGGAGAATAGTTGAAGCTGGGTTATTATAGCTGTATAGATGCAGTGACTCCATTTCTGCCAATTAGTGGGCTACGAGCTTTTTTTTATAATCATCAGTAGAAAGAAAAGCTTGATCTTCGACCTGTCTTGTTTTCTAATGTGTGTTCTGACTTGTCATGAAGATTCCCCATCAGCTAGTAAGCATTGCTATGAGCTGCTGAACCTTTAGGGTCACAGGATGTTTATTTATGAAGCTACCCGAAATCAATGTTCTTCAAATGTCTTCCATTCAATTTATTTTGATTTCAATTCGTGCCTTTTCCCTTTTGTCTTTACAGATGAGATCACTGCTAGTTTTCGTCGTTTTGGACCTTTGATTGTAGACTGGCCGCACAAGGCAGAGAGCAAATCTTATTTTCCTCCTAAAGGTAAATATCTGATATTCAATAACATATGAGCATTTTGGAATCATTTTTCCTGATAAGAATCCATTTCAGACAAGATTTTTGTGACAATGACCCAATGTTTAGGGGAAAAAGAGTTGAATCCTTGGGATTGTTATAAACTGGTAGAATTTAGAATGTGGCTTTGCAGTTATTCTGCACTAAAAGAATTCTTCTTTAACTTTCCGGGTTTACTTTATTCCATTTTCCTTTTTCTCCCCTTGTTCTTCATTTTTGTAATAGTAGTCAAGTCTGGTCCTCTTTAAAGGGACTAAATGCCCTCCACAGAATCTGGGAAGGATTTGTATTAACGACCATTTTATATTAACGACCGTCATGGCAGGTTTGCCTCCACAGCTGTGGCTTTTGTTCCTTCATACTGCTGCTTTCCAAAGGAAATGGGGAGAGAGTGTGCTGATCAGCCAGCTCCCTGCTTTCCTTCACGTCTCTGCAGAGGACTTGCAGGAGGCCGGGTTGGAAATGCATGAGAGCATCTTAAAGCTTGTCCCTCACTGTATGGTAGCATGATGACACAGTGCTAAGCATAATTCTGGGTTGAATTATTGTCATATACACAAATGGACAAAAGAAGTTACATGTTTGTTTTCCCTTTTGTAGGATATGCATTTTTGCTGTTCCAAGATGAAAGCTCTGTACAGGCACTGATTGATGCATGTATTGAAGAAGATGGAAAGCTCTATCTTTGCGTTTCCAGCCCCACTATCAAAGACAAACCGGTAGGTAGAATTGTCAGGGCCTGCACAATTCCTGTATGATAACCAGAAATTGTTCTCTTCAGATGCCTTTTTTTCTGTCTTCAGAGTGCTAATGTTTAAATTTCTTTAAGGTGTCAAATTAAGTTCTCAAAAAGACCAACTGACTTATTTTTAAACTAGACATTATGAAGCTTTTTAGTCTAGTTATGGTTCATATTTTTGTTAGAAAAAGGTTTGCTAAATTTCACCATTGCTGATGTAATAATTATATTTCCAGACAGGTATTTTATGCTTGTTATTGAATAAAATGTAGAATTCATATTGCCTGAGTGTTGCACGTGACATGTTTTGACAGAGAGAAATTAAATCCAAAAAAACATGACATGGCATTGTACTGTAAATTATTAGTACAAACGGCTTTGGGGCTGATGCGAGTCTGTTAGTAGTTGGAGAGACTTCTGCTGTATTTCTGTATTTCACATTTGGCCAGCTGTAAGCAAATATAAAGGCAGCTAGTTTTGCATAGTAAATAAACATGCAACTTTGTGCACTGGAGCCTGTTGCATTGAGATAACGCTAGTCTAGTGCTCACACTTGGCTAGAACAACACGAAAAGCGTAGATACGTATGCACCAGTGTGGTTCGTACAGCACAGTTCAGGCATGATTAAGTAAATGTGTAAGTAGAGGGTGAGTTTTTTCCCAGAAATTTGGGTAACAAGGAAGTGGTGAAATTTAGTGTGATCAAGTTGTCTGTCTTAACAGAGCTTATTACTATTTCATTTCAAGAAATGATTGCTGAATGAGTAGAAAGTGAGTTTAGAAAGTACAGGAGCCATTTAAGAGGTTTTCTTTGTAGGATACTGTTTTATTTATATTACTGAGATACTTTGAATTGTGAATGGTTAAAAAAAAAAGGCTTTTTGTCCATAGGTTCAGATCCGGCCTTGGAACCTTAGTGATAGTGATTTTGTTATGGATGGTTCACAGCCTCTTGACCCACGAAAAACCATTTTTGTTGGTGGTGTTCCTCGGCCTTTACGAGCAGGTACACTGCGTGTTCCGCAGCACTGGGCATGTTGAATATGCAGTCTGATTGGGGAGCAACGGGGGAAACAAGCTATTTCAGCAAGTGTTTTTGACACTTATAGCGGGGGACATGAATACAAATGGACTGTTTCATTTGATGCTTTTAGACAAAAATACCAAGTCTACACCACTGTTTCGTTTTCCCTTCTGGTTTAGTGGAACTTGCAATGATAATGGATCGGCTGTACGGAGGGGTGTGCTATGCTGGAATTGACACAGACCCTGAGCTGAAGTACCCGAAAGGAGCTGGGCGGGTTGCATTTTCTAATCAACAGAGTTACATAGCTGCTATCAGTGCTCGCTTTGTTCAGCTGCAGCATGGAGAGATAGATAAACGGGTAAGGTCTTCAAGCACATTCTATTTTTGTTCAGTGCTTTCTCTAGAAATGCTTTTCCATGTAAATGTGTGTCATTGTGAAGACTGTAAATGTTATATCAGATTAATTGCATATTTAGGGCTAGATTGTGCCACTTAGATACAACACAGAATAAAAATGAAGGAGTGGTACAGAGCTGTTGCTTCTGGAACGTGGGAGGCAACTGTGAAGCAGACTTTCTCAAATTGCTTAGCATAATGGGAAGCATGTCAGCTGCCTTGCCCTTTTATAAGAATATTGCACTTGTCATATACTCCCACTGCAAGTATTTGCACTTGTAGTGTTCGTATAATGTCAGGGAGTAAGGTATCTGCCAAAGATGGAGCAGTTCTTCCTCCTGTTCTGCATCTCTTGAGAGAGTGGGCAGAATCTGGCCCTAGTGTTACACATTGTGTGCTGGGTGTTCCTAAAGAGCATCATAGTAATGCATTGTAAACTCGTTAGTGTGCATTACAGCCTCACAGTCATCCTCCGCTGCCTACGTAAAGGCTGTGTTTGGTTATTTTATTCCTTTATTATTATAAATTAAAGTAATATGGTCAAATGGATCTGCAGTTTGCTTGCCTCTGCCCTCTCATCTATAGAACATGTGACTTTGCCAATTACACTGATCTTCCAGCCACAATTTTGAGAAACTCGGATCTTTACATGTACCTTTCTGTCTAATTCATGCTTTGTCTCTGGGTTTTTCTTACATGACTGTCATTGTTGATCTTACTGATCTTAATTTTATAGTTACTACAGAGGAAAAACCCCAAACTTGGCTGCTTAGCTGATTATCATTTCGCTTCTGCTTTGGCTATAGAGCTTGGGTAGAAGAAATGTAACAACAATTTGACTGTGGGCATGTGAATTGGAATGTCTTTGTTCTAATCTTGGCTCTGAAATAAGTTCTGTATGGCTTTGAACAAATAATTTGGGCTGCCCTTGTGCAACTCCTGCTTGCATAAGCAGACACTTTGGTGAATAGGTCCACTGAAGCTGGTGGGACTACAAATTTAAGTAAGTACTTGTGAACTCTAGCAAAGATTTTGCAATCTATTTCCCCTTCCTTCTCTCCTTCCACTCCTCCTTATTTCCCCATTTTGTGTGTAGTTAAGAAGAAATGTGGCAAGAAAGTGCTCAGAGAATTCGTTGTAAGAGGGATTGGGTACATGAGAGATACTGAAGTACAACAGTGGCAATACTACTTTTCTTATTAATTAGTTCTAAGAAAGTTTTTCTGTAAAAAGAAAAACAAAATTAGTAACAAGAAGGGATTTCCTGTAAAATTAGGCAAGGAGGTGCTGCTAAAGGGTGTGCCCTTCAGAGAGATAATGCAAATGAGGTGCTCAGTGGTCTACAGCACCCACCACTGCAGAGCTTCCGATGGGTGTTGCCACCCTAAGCGTGCCTGATGAAGTTGCTGTAATTTACGCTGTTTCTCTGTAGTTGGGAAACCTTGATATAGCTCGCACAAGTAATGGTTGCAGGTTGTGTTTGGCATGTGCTCTTCAGCACAAGTTGAATAAATACGCTGAGGACTCTGTTATCTATGGGCTGCAAACCTGCACAAAATCCAGTGCCGCAGTAACAGGCTAAAGCAAGCAGAGGTATAATTACCTGTGCTGTAGTTTGGCCTCTGAATATGTCTGAGCAGACATAATAGAGCAGCAGAATTGCCACATTAAGGAGGCCTGAATAGCGCATTTGTAGGTTTCCTCTTAGCACTTGCAGGAGACGATGCTCATCAGTGAATACCTAACCTCAAACTACATAGCAAACTAGGTGATGAAGGGAGAACGTGCTCTTAGGAGTATTTGCCTGCCTCTGCTCTTCTACAATTTTACTCTTCTGAGTTGGCATGAAGGGGTGTTTGAGAAACAGAACTCTAGGAGTGGAAGAGGAGGAAAAACTGAGGCCAAAAAAAAAGGCTGCTGTACTGTCTCCAAGTAGTTTATATGTACTATAAGCACAAATGGCATTAAACTACTGCAGTGCCCTGTCTGGACTGTGATAAAATTGGGTAAGTTTAAAAACACAGGAACTTGTGAATATCCTTATCGGAATAAGCCAGCATCCCTCCAAGGTTACTGAGATGCAGAAAGGAGCATCCCTAAGCCAGGTGCCGAGATAACAGGTTAACAGTAGAGATACCAGTCACAGTCTCAATATTTGGAAATGTTTGTGAAAACACCTGATTAAATGATCTTCAGAGAAGATTTGCAAACACTTCTAGAACAGGAACTTGTACCTGTGCTTTTTTAACATGAAGTTTTGTGTTGCGCTTCTGATATGTCCCATGGCCCTCTCACAGTTCTGCGGAGCGAAGGAATGGGAGTGGAGGTGATTACTGGTTTTGAGGTGAAACCGAGCCTTTAGGGGATGGCAGTGCTGCAGTTGTGATTTAAACACATAGGCATGTCTAAACGAGCTGTGCTGTAGCCAGCTTGGGTACAGCAAGCAGCAAGCTTTGCCTGCTGTCACAGAGAGAGCGCTCCGGAGTGCTGTGAGCAG